CACTGCCTACAGTGACCTTGTGGGCCCATTTGTCCTTCCCCCATTCGATGCAGCAAAAGCCAAACAGCTGCAATTCTCTTTATATTTGCCCCTGGTTTTCAAACCTTTTTCTTGCAGAATACTCTGTGGGGAAGGAGGTGGCAGAAAGAGGTTTGTTCTACTTTGCATGTACCATCGTCAACCCTTCCTTCCATTCATCATCTCTCCAGAAAGGGAACAGCAGTGCATAAAGCTCAGTTGTTCAATATGAATTGCAGCAGGGTGGTCAGCTGACTCTCATTTCTGAAGATACTGCTTCAGGCTGGCACCACATCTCCACACAACTAATTGCGTTGGCTGTGGACTGGGCGTAGAGCCAGGCCTCCCAAGAAGTAGATGGATTAGGACATCTTGCCTGACAAGGTGTATAATGCTGCTAAATGAAAACTGCCCATACAAAAAGCCACAAATAAATTGTGGGCTTTGGTACGTGTCAGAATCAGGCTAAGGCATAGAAGAAGAGTTGGAAGTCACACAAGGGTCTTTTGTATAGCCTCCCACTATAAGGTAGCACCATCTATCCACCTGCAACCATGCCCACTTGACCTCCACATCTCATGAATCACAATGTTCAACAGCAGCAAGCAAATGCAAGACTCTACTTGTGCAGAGGGTAGAGCTGGCCCTTGCTCCCAGCAAAGGCATAGATCCATGGGACGCATCAGAATTCAATGGCAGAGATCTCAACTCAGTCATGAATCTCACTAGGTGTCTTTGAGCCAGATTTCCTCTTTCAGCCAGCCTAGTCATAAAGGGATTTGTGAGGATTAAATATGGGAGTGAGCTGTTGTTTAACAGCCTCAGATTCTGGGAGAAAGGGTAGAAATATTTTCTAATGCACGGTTGCAAACATCCAGATGGGTGTCCCAAAAAATGAAAGAGGGCCAACGAGGACGCTGATGAAATTGTGAACTGATTACACCAGCCTGCCACAATTAGTACCCTTCCGAGCATATTGAACTGCAGCCAAGATAGGTATGGCCATGCTGGATGGGGATGATGTGAGTTGTAATCACATACATTTGGAAGGTCTGTGTTGGGGAAGACTAGAGTAGAGGCTTCTGGTGAAAAAAGGGGGAAGCAGCTGGGGTCGAGCCTAAAATGTAGAAACCCCAGGATGTGTTCTCTGTTTGTGGATGAACATTCCCTTTTTAGATACTATGTGCTTCTCAGTGCTGATGATACTGGCTCTGCATTGCCTCTCACACTAGCTAGGAAAACGCTTGTGTCGAAGTGGTTGAGATCACCCACAAGATAGTTGCGATGTAAAAAACAGCTCAAAGAAACAGAACATTTTCCCAACTTTGTAGCTGAAGAAGAAGTTGCATGTCCTGCTCCCAAGCTATGGAACACACTTCCTTGGGGGTTGTTCCCAGCCCCTGATTGCTCAGCCTTTTAAAAATCTGTGAGGATGCAACTCTTCCACCAGGCTTTTAACTGTCATGTTATTTTACCACCTATTTCCCTGTAAATTTTAATCTGTTTTAGCCTAAGTTTGTATATTCCATTTTTGTTTTATACTTTTTGTTATCTGCCTTGCCAGAATAGAAAAAGAGGATATAAACCAAACAAATAAGTAAATTCCCATGAATGGAATCCTGAAAGAGAGTTGGAACAGTTTAATCGTTTCTCTGCAAGAAACTCTGAGCATAAAGCCTTCATTCATTCATGTTGTCCTATCAGGTGGTCAGGATAAGTTTAATTGCACTCGCAGTCTGGGTTATCAAGGGTTCAGTATTTTCTGTGCCTCTCCAGGAATGCATGGTTGTGTGGAATCAAAACGCAGGACACAAAGGTTCCACAGTTGCTTGCCAAGGGAAGATGGTGGGTAAAAATACAAGCTCTGGGCCAAATTTCAAAAGGACCCAGAGTTGAGATTCTCTGTACCTAAAATCTTCCTTGATAATTGTAGACTTAACCCTCTTGGGCTTGTGCTAGGAGAATACTTCAAGGTTCTTGGGTTACGCTGTTTCCTTACCTCCAACAGAAGTTTCTGATGTCTCATTAGGGATATTACTTTTCTCACTTAGAAGAAAGATGCACATCTCCTGACTTATCTTCCAGAAAAAACATTGTTTTATGAATTTCAATTGCTGAGATATATTTTCTTCTAATTTGCTGGCAGTTGGTAATGAAAAACTTCCTGCTTTTCTCCCACAGCTGGGCACATCTGTGCTTTCCCTTGAAGGTACATTGAGAAGGTGAATAATGGTAGGCAAGTGTATCATTTTTCCCACTGCAGACCATTAATAAATCACATGGAGCTTCAGCCTCACCCAAAATTTCTGCCCAGCTACCCCCTTCTTTCTGCATAAACCTCTTTATGCACACTTGTTTCCCTGAGTCTCAGCAAGTGCAGTAAAATTCCAGCTGTGAATGTTGGCTTCTAGCAGACAGCTGTTTATAGTCCAAAAGTGAGCCTTTTAGGTAAAGGAGTTGCCAGGTGAAGATGGATTGGGGCCATGATGGATAGCATCACGCTGGGGCCGTCTGTTTTCATTATTCAGCAGAAGTGTTTATTTTAGGCAGTGGATCTGTTATTCTGACATCTAATAATGTGCTTAACCTCAACACCTGTTCAATCCAGCCTTCCCTCCCACCTACATAGGCTGATCAGCCATTAACCCCTGACAGAATTTAGTAAAGGAAACACAGAACAAATTGTTTTCAGGGAAGGGGATAGATAGAGCCATTAGAGCTTGGCAAGATCAACATCCATGGACTTTCCTCAGTGCTTAATTTCTTTTCCTTTGCTGTAGCCTTTGGTTCCCAGTAACTCAGTGAGTTCTGCATAAAGATTGGGTGTGGTGCAGGGTCTGGGCATCTGCTCAGACTTGTCCAATTCCACCAATGAAGCTTGCTGGGTTTCAAGAATGGCCATGCTAGGTGGCAGGGGAGAGGATGTCCAAGATCTGCTGTCTCTGTATTTGCCAGATATTTGTGATTTTGAATAGCAGGATCAGGATAAAGGAATGGTTCTGTTCTGGCACTACATATGCACAGAGTCTGGAGCATGGGTGGGTGGTGACTACCATCATAATGTCCTGATGGCTGTGCACAAAGCTTTCCATTGCAGGAGCAATAACAGTTTAATTATTTCTTCAGCATGGCACTCATATTGTCCATAAGCTTACAGCAATTGACAACAGCAGTCACTGATTTTGCATTTCATTTATATCCCCCTTCCCCTTCCCCTTCCCCTTCCCCTTCCCCCTCCCTTCCTTCCTTCCCACCCAGAATTTCTTAGATTAGGGATGGATTGTTGAACACAGCCCTGGCTTGGGACTCATGACTTTCACAGTGTGACTTTGGTGCAGTAAGACAAAGCAGAATATAAATGCAACCAATTAATGATCTGGTATCTGCTGCTTTGCAAACAAACAGATAAATTAGGCCATTCCAGACCCAGCCATTTCAAAATAGTTAAAAATAGAAAGGCTTGCACATAAGAAAAACCATCCTTTCTCAAGTAATGAGCAAAACCAGGTGCATTTTAGGATTCTTCATATATAACATCTCTTTCAGTTTACTGAGCTATCATTTTATTGTAATTGCTTGCCCCAGCATGAAATAATTGTGCACGTACCTCCCATGTCATGTGCATATGTCACAAATACCAGTTGGAGCTTCCCACTATGTGCTACATATGGCAAAATGCCCATTTGTCCTTGCCACGTGTGCTAGGCCTCTATAGCCTCCTTATCAACTCTGGGTGGCAAATTGCCTAGGCTTCTTAGAGGAGGCTGTGCTTCAAAGACAATCCCTAATTTACAGTTGTAACTTGCTTTTGGAGTAGAAGGAAACTCTGCTATTTTGTGTGTGTAGGGGGGATTATTTAATTTTTATTTCTGATGACAAGAGCTATCTGTGTCCTTCCTCCTCCTTTGTTTTCTGCCTGTCCCAACCTTCTATCATCTCATTTTCTTTTTCTCCCCCCAATATAGGTGGAGT